GGAGGAGGAGGAGGAGGAGGAGTGGCACGGCATGCAGCGGGCAGGGTGAGCTCTTTCAGCGGCCCTCGGTCGCTGCGGCTGCCGTTGTCTCCTGCGGAATCCCCGGGGCAGCAGGACTTGGGCTTGTACTGGAGGCACCACGCCCAGCGACAGGGCCGGCACCAGGCAGCGCGAAGGGCACGACGATCGCATATCCAGCACTCCAGCGCACATCGGAGCGCTTCAACCTCCAGGCAGCCGCCGCAATCCCCACGTCGCACACCTCCAGCGGCCGCTGAGAGCTCACAGAGCTCCGCAGCGAGGCGCATGAGGTTCGCGACACATCTCTCCCTGAGGACGGTGCGCACGTACAAGCTCGGCGAGCGCGCCCTCATCAGGGAGGCACGCACGACGAAGCGCACGGAGAGCACCAGGGATACGATCACCGTCACCACGAAGATGCCCAAGACGAGGCTCGAGAAGCACACGACGGAAGGTACCACCAGGAAGATGCCCGCGACAGGGCCTTCCAACAGTAAGAGGCACCGGGACGGTGTTCACCATCGTCTGGAAGATGCCCACGGCCCCGCTCACGATGCGCCTCATTTCCAGGGAGAGGCCCACGACATCCATCGCGCGACTGTCCATCATCAGATAGGCGCACACGACAGAGAGCACGCGGTGCATCAAGATGGCGACCGCAATCGCCGAGACGATGCGCACCACAAGGCGCACGAAGCTCACGGCAAGGCTCTCCATCGGGGAGGCGCACCCGACCACTCTCGCGATGCGCATCATCGTCAGGCCGATGTGCCCGAGCAGTTTCAGGAAGCACGCCATCACCAAAAAGACGCTCGCTGCGAAGCTCGCGAAGGTCAGCACGAATCGGGCCGTCGCCGTCCCCACGAAGATGCTCCAGACGAGGCCCACGAAGCACACGACGGAACTCACGATGTGCAAGATGCTCAAGACAAGGCTCTCCATCAATAAGCTCACGGAGATGCACACGACGAAGCGCCCAACGATGCTCACCGCCATCAGGAACGTGATCCCACCCACATCCATGTTGCGCCGCATCGCCAGGAGGTCGCCCACGACCAGACGCACGAGGCTCTCCCCCGCCAGGTCGAGGCACACGACGGAGCGAGATGCTGATCGCCCTCACCAGGAAGATGCTCAACACGAGACGCACGAGGCGCACGATGACAAGCTCGCAATCAGGAAGTCGCACCCCGACCAAACACATTCGGGGATGGACAGACCCCCCTTTAGAAAAACGTGGTTTAGTGAAAACGACCAGAGGCCCGAACCTGGCGGGCGCAAGCCTGGAAAATGACGGCCACGGCGCCCTCTCGAGAACCGAAAACAGACAATTCACTAATCGACGTGTCACTGTTGGGGGTTCTGTCCAGCTCCGACACATCATGCGCACGAGCGCCGGGTACCCGAACAGGTTCAGGAGGTTCCGCAGCCACGCACGCGGCAAGCCGAACGCAGGTACGACGACTGAGTCAACGTCGCCTGCGCGTCCGAGAGAGTGCAGGTCCAGGAGGGCGCGGACGGCCGCCGCCCGCGTCCGATGAGGGCCGCCAACGCCGTGCGACATGTGCTTGCGCGCTTGCGGCGTTCGCCCGCCCCGTGTGCAGCATCGCCTGAGCAGAGGGGGCTAGAAGGAGGAGAATGAGGACGAGGAGAGGGAGGGAGGAGGAGAAGGAGGAGGAGGAGGAGGAAGAGGAGGAGGAGGAGGAGGAGGAGGAGGAGGAGGAGGAGGAGGAGGAGCAGGAGGCGGAGGGGAAGGCAACGACGAGGACGACGAGGACGAGGACGACGACGAGGATGCGACGACGAAGAGAGGGAAGGCGAGGGGGAGGAGGGGCAGGGAGGGAGGAGGGCGAGAATGGGGAGGAGAAGGAGGAGAAGGACGGGGAGGACGGCCAGTCTTGCCGAGCTCGGCCCTCCAGAGGCTCGCTCGGAGCGCCGGGGGCGTTGGCAAGCAGGCAGGCAGGCGCCGCCCGCGGCGGGCGCGGGCTTCTCGCTCGAGCTGCGGGCTCCTCGGACGGCTCCGAGCCGGGCCTCCCTGGGGCCCTTGGCAACTTTTTGGGGGCACCAGGAGGCGACTCCCCTCCCGTCTGAGGAGGAGGAGGAGGAGGAGGAGGAGGAGGAGGAGGAGGAGGAGGTGGCCGGATCCAACTCCCCTCTCGTCTCTGGCCGACTGGCCGACCGGCCGACTGGACGACCGGCCGTCTCCGCGACTCCCCGACTGCGGAGTCGGAAAGTTCTTTCTGGAGCCTCGAGAATTGTGCTTCTCCCCATGGGGCAGTGCCAGGGGTGATCAACGCCAGGGGGGTCACCAGTTTCTCGCTGAGGATCGCAATTCCATCCAGGGCTTTTTCCGAGGCTTTTCGTCGACGATGGGGCTCGCTTTGGCGGGCTCTGGAGAGCTCTAGGGGCCCCATGCCCTCGGTAAGATAACAATAAGTTGAAGAAGTGGCGACCCTCTAGTGGTGACCACCTTCATTGCAATTGCCTAGCTCTCGAGTTGGGCCAGAGAAGGTGGGATCGGAAGACGCTGGGATCCGACCCTCTCCCCGTCCCGGCGTCGTCCGCGCATCAGCGATGCATATGCGATGCGCCGCGAATCTTCCGACCCCCTCTACTTTGACCCCATTGGAAGACCTTCAGTAGGCGGCAGCGAGCACTAGTCACCGTCCCCTCCTCTTTCCTCATGTTCCTCCCCCTTTTCCTCCTCCTCCTCCTCCTCCTCCTCCTCCTCCTCCTCCTCCTCCTCCTCCTCCTTTTTTCCCTCCCGCGTCCTCCTCCTCCTCCTCCTCCTCCTCCTCCTCCTCTCCTCCTCCTCCTCCTCCTCCTCCTCCTCCTCCTCCTCCTCCTCCTCCTCCTTCCTCCCCTCCTCCTCCCTCTCCCCATCTGCTCCCCAGACTCGTGATGTCCTGTTTTTTCCGCACGGGCTCCCCGAAGCCCTGGACGACCTCCCCAGGACCGCTGGCTCGTCCTCAACTGCTGCTCACGGCCCCGGGGGCCCGGGGAGGGCCACCCGACGCCGACGCCGAAGCCACGCCTCCGCCTCGTTTTCGCAGTGCCTTGGAGGTCTTGGTTGTAAGTCGGGGGGCTCGTCCCTCTACAAGAGAACTAGATTCCAAAATAATGTTTAAAACATGGGGACGATGTTTTGATTATTTCTGACGATGTGGGATTATGTTTGAACTATCTTTCGTTTTTTCCTCCAAGATCCCCCTGCAGGGGGACACGCCCGACCTAAGTCTTGGTCTGGCCGCCAAGGGGCCCCCGAGACCCCCGCGCGCTGGGCCTGTCGGAGAGTCCCGAGGCTCTCGCCGCGGCGGGCTGGCTCGGCGGCGCGGAGGTGCGGCGGTGAGGGCGGCGGGCCCTCGCGGGGCCCTCCTTCTGCTGCTTCTCCTCCCTGCCTCCTCCTCGTTCCCTTCGTGTCCCACCCATGCTCCCTGTCTCTGGCCTCGTCCTCGTCCTCTTCCTGCTCCTCGTGTTCCTCCTCCTCCTCCTCCTCCTCCTCCTCCTCGTCCTCACCCTCCCCCTCCTCCTCCTCCTCCTCCTCCTCCTCCCTCTCCGTCCTCCTCCCTCCCTTGCTTTCCCGCCCCCCTCCTACGTCCCTTCCCTCCTCCTTTCCTCCCCCTCTTTTGTTATATTTCTCCCTCCCTCCGTCCCTCCCTCCTCCTCCTCTCCTCCCTATCCTCCTCCCTCCTCCTCTCCTCCTCCTCCTCCTCCTCTCCCTGCCTCCTTCCCTTTCCTTATCCGGGCACTGACGGCCGTCGGCGGCGGCGGGGGCGGGGCAACGACGCGGGGGCTCGCGCCCGTTGAGAGCACACTCCGCAGCGTTCTGCCCACTTCGTCGAGCTTCTCCTCGAACTGCTCCTGAGCGCCGCCGTCGTCGCCGCCGCCAGGGGTCGCCGTCGACCAGGGGCATCGTCGGACGAGGAGTGCGCCTGCTCCCTCCCTCCTTACTCCCACCTCCTGTTCCTGCTCCTGCTCCCTGTTTATCCTCTCACTGTCGCTGATGGCATTGAGGAGGAGGAGGAGGAGGAGGAGGAGGAGGAGGAGGAGGAGGAGGAGGAGGAGGAGGAGGAGGAGGAGGGGGAGGAGGAGGAGGAGGGGAGGAGGAGGTGGAGGGGGGCAGGGAGGAAGAGCTTGGGGAGCAGGGGGGAGCAGGAGGAGGAGGAGGAGGACGAGCAAGAAGGTGTAATCAGTGGCTCCGCCCCCAGGGCACCGTCGGCGCTCGACAAGTGCGGCCGGGCCACAGCGTGGCAGCCCGGTCGGCTGGGCGGGCACTGGACGGCGGCGAGCCAGTGCTGGTAAAGAAACAATATGTTATCGTCTTCGCTCTCCTCCTCGTCCTCCTCGTCGTCCTTGTCCTCCTCCTCGTTATCCTCCTCCTCCTGCTCCTCCTCCTCCTTCTCATCCTCCCTTCTCCTCCTCCCTTCTCCTCCTCCCTTCTCCTCCCTCCTCCTCCTCTTCCTCCCTCCTCCTCCTCCTCCTCCTCCTCCTCCTCCTCCTCCTCCCTCCTCCTCCTCCTCCTCCTCCCTCGTCCTCCTCCTCCTCCTCCTTTCCTCCTCCTCCCCTTTTCCTCCTCCTCCTCCTCCTCCTCCTTTCCTCCTCCTCCTCCCGTCTCAGCTCCCTCTTCCCCTCCCTGGTCCTGCTGCCGCTCACCTCCCCTCTCCTCAACCAGATTCTAATTGCTACCCCTTTTGGCCCTCACTCCCCCCACCCCTGCCGCCTTTCCTCCGCTCCCGTTCCGCCTGCGACGACGACGGCGACGACCAAGACGACGACGACGACGACGACGACGACGACGACGACGACGACGACGACGACGACGACGACAAGGACGACGACGACGGACGGAAGGCTGGACGACGACGGTTCCTCAGGGCGCTGCTTCTCCCCCCCCCCGGGAGAGGAGCACGAGGGAGGCAGGAGCAGGAAGAGGAAAACAAGCACGGTGAGGGGTGATCCGAGTGAGATCATCATAGTGGGGGAGGAGGAAGGTAATCACAATGAGGGGTCACGGGGCAAGCAGGAGGAATATAATCTTAGGGCGGAGGACGATCATCATAGTGAGGGAGGGGAGGAGGAAGAGCCCGAGGGAGGAGGAGGAGCGCACGTAGCTTGAGTGACGGTGACTCAGCTACTGCTGCAGGCTCTATCGACGCATTGCGGCGAGAGCGGCAGCTCGTATTTCGTAATGGTAAGAGGGCGACGCCGACCTCGTTGGGTGGGAGGCCAGGTCAGCCTTCAGCTTGTGATAGATATGGAAGCTGAGGACGACCACACGGTGGCAACGCGCACGCGGGTATTCGACTTCAGCGTCGGGCGAGGGCCCGAGCCCAAGGCGGGTGAGGGGACAGGAGGGAAGGAAGCCCCGAGGGACAGCAAGGAGGTGCAGGAGGCGAGGGCAGGAGATGTAGTGGGCAAAGTCATCGGAAGCGTCGGGACAGCCAAGGATGCACTGGCGGGGCGGCTCGCAGGGGACTCGGGCGGCTGTAGTCCAGGCCCCCGCCAGCGTTTTGATGTGGGACCACGCCCAGGCCGGGGGGCTCCGAGCGAGGACTCCTCGGAGCTCCTCCCAGCGGCTGGTGAGGTCAGCAATGGGAAGAGGAGGAGCAAGGGGAAGCCACGAGGAGATACGACGAGCGAGGAGAGAGGGAAAGGAGTCAGGGTACAGGGACGCATGGAGGCTCAGAGAGAGGGCGCGCTGGGGCCTCGGTCTTCGAGCGGCGGCCGAGGCATCCGCTATTTCATGGCGAGCGGCAGCCTCCGCTCGGTGCCAGGCGGCACGGGCAATCCCTGTCGGACCGCCGCGCAGCACGTCTTCGAAGAATTCGGCGATTGAGAGCGAGCGGCGCCACACAGCACTCGAGAGCCCTCGGGAGCCTAGAGCTCGGAGCGGTCCGTGCATTTCGGCCTGGGCCCGCAGGATCGTTAAAGCCTGGCTCCAGCCCCTAGGGCCGTCCCTGGGGAGGGTGGACGCAGCGGTCCTCCAGGCGGAGGCCCCGGCCAGAACCCGCACGGACCTGGGGGCCGAGGAACGGAGCCAGGAGCCTAGGCCCAGGAGCTCCCCCAGGCCGAAGGCATTCGGGGGGAGGCGGAGGAGGCGGTGGAGGACGTGACGCTCGGAGCGAAGGAGGGCGAGAGGAGGGGGGTAGAGCTGACAGACGTAGCTCAGGACTGAGAGGATGCCGAAGTTATATACTCGGCAACTGGCCTCTGCAGGTGTCCTACTAAGTGCGACTTCTGCTGTGCGTCTTCGCCACTTACGAATTGGGTCGGTCCACTGATCCGCTAGAGACGCCCCAGGTCCAAAAGCGAATCCCAGGAACGGGGTGCAGCCACGGACATGAAAGGAAGCCCACTCGGGGGCCAGGGCAGTTATCTTCGCGCTCACACGTGCGGCAACGCAAGGCGTGCATTCTTCAGCCAGTGGAACGGCACAGCATTTGTCCGGCTGGAGCTCGAGGTTCGCCAGTGTGCGGGCGGCGGTGAAGGGTGGGACGAGCAGGGGGAGAAGTCGGATCGAGGGGAGAGTGGCACCAACGTCATCCGCCGTCACACCGCACTCAGGCTCTAGTCTTGGGCACCAGCGCTCGGGGTTCGGGCAGAGGGCCAGCGCTTCGGGCGACGTTAGCTGAGACTGGATGTGGCGGGCGAAGGGGTCCATGGACAGGGCCCAAATCGTGCCTGAGAGGGGGCAGCCCTGGGCCACGCCAGACGAAACCATGAAGAGTGGGCGGCGGGATGCTCCACATCGGGAGTGGGCGAGAGCCCCAGAGTACAAGGCAGAGATTACATTAAGAAAGCCCTTCGGGATGCGGTGACGCTCGAGCACACGCCAGAGGAAGGGCTGGGAAAGGGAGGGAAACGCAGCCCTGAGGTCAAAGGAGACAAAGAGGGGGGACAGCTCAGGGTGGTGACTGGCAGCACGAGCGACCGCATCCTGACGGACGACGTGAGACAGGAAGTTCCGTCCGCGCACGAAGCCTTGCTGGCTTTCGTGCACTCGTGCGGCCGCGAGAGGGGCGAGCGCGTGATTCGCTGCACTAGCCACTGCCTTGGCATCACAATTCTTGAGGCTCAGAGGTCGAAGCTTCGACGCGTGGCGGACCACCTCCACGGAGTCCGAGGGCTCGTCACCCTTGGGAATGAAGACCATGTCCGCGAAATTGAAGCCATGCGGCGCGCCCCTGCCCTGGTACAGGCCAATCATCATGTCGTAGAGGATGTCCACCAGCCTTGGGTCCGCCAGCCAGGCAGCCGCAGGAAGTCGGTCAGGCCCAGGGGCAGTGGGCTTGGCTCGAAGCAGCGCAGCGCGGAGAACAGCTGGAGAAGGAACCTCCAGAGCTGGGCTGTCAAACTCAGGGAGATGAGTGCGCAGGTAATCGTCAACCGCATTGATGTCGACAGGGTGATCTGTGAAGGCAGGCTGCCAGTGCTGACGCAAGCCATCCATGATCATGGTCGGGTGACGCTCGATGCCCGCCTGGTGTCCCTCACCATCCATGCGAAGACCCTTGAGCACCAGCCGACGACGGTAAGGAATCCAAAGAAGGGCTCGCCGCTGAGCAGCACGCTGTATCTTCCGCAACTGCTGGATGGTGGGGTCGCCCGCGTCGAGCTGCAGCTGTGCGTGTTCACGAAGTCGGGCGGCTGCTGCAGCTTGCTGGTGTTCGTGCCAGGCGAGATGAAGGTCCATGCACTCTCGTTCGAATGCGGGGGGATTGACCAGCAGGATGCGGTTGTCTCCATCGATGGTGAGGTGCAGTCGGCCCATGGCAGTGGAGTGGATCAGCTTGTGCGCAAGGTGCAGGTCCTGCCTCCATATGGCTCTCGCAATCGCGCGTGTCGAAATTCTGCGGCCCTCAAGAGCTTCAGCATGGCCATCGCCGATAGGGAGGGCCTGGAGCTCATTGCGGGTGATGCGAGCAGCCTCAATCATCTGCAGCTTCACCTCGGCCCAGCGATTCTCCTCCGCTATGTTCGTGAAGTCGGAGTGGTTGAGCGGGGTAGTGACATGCTTGGCAAACCGCGGCGAGTGGAAGACGCTCTGGGGGATCGCGCGGTCGTCGGGAGCAGCCGCGGTGCGGGGCTGGATCCGCAGCTGGATGATGGCGTGATCGCTGAGACCCCAGTCAGCCAGTGAGGTCGCCTCCTGCCAGATCTCGAAGGCGACGGAGGTGTCCAGGAGGAAGTGCGACTTCAAGGAGATGAAGGCCCTGTCAATGAACGTGCATGACTGGTGGCGCTTGGAGTAGTGGGCGGGTAGCTCGCACACCACCTCCACCATGTCCCGTTGGAAGAGGTTGCGCCAGAAGCCCTGCGCTTGGTTGCCACGGTGCCAGACCGATCGGCTGTTGCCACCAGCTCGTCGGTAGTCTCCCAGAGCCATCTCCGCAGCAGATTCCGAGGAGGAGGAGGACGAAGTAGAGGAAGAGGAAGAGGAAGAAGTAGCAGAGGTTCTCCGTCGCCCAGTGCCCCGTGTAGGCGCCGAAGCCGAAGCCGCGCTCGGAGAAGAGAGGTGCACCGGTTCAATGTCAGCGATATTGAAGTCCCCGATAGCGATGAAGATGCGGTGCCGTTCGTCACTGTGAGCCCAGGCAGCTCCGTCAAGCCAACGACGGCGCACGAGAGGTAGTTTGGCTGCGGGCAGCTCGTGGTTGTGGATGTTCATGATCTTGATGTGCTCGTTGTTAGTCGAGTTGCTGATAGTGAGGACCGCGACGCGACCATCAATCACAGGGTCCAAGGAGAGGGAAGGGAGCAGCTGTGGGTCCATCGTCGCAAGCTCCGCCTCGGAGAACCACGGGATCAGGAAGGCGAGGCCGCCAGCCCCAGGGGAGACGCCCGCCGACATGATGGCTCGG